CCTTAAATTAGGACCAGCTCTCTCCTTCAACATCTCCAACTGAGATTTTATGTATGTTGCAGCTTCTCTAAGCCCTGATCGACCCTCCTACAAAACCCATGAAACCCAATCAGACAAAAACGACGCCGAATCACCTGGAGACAGACAGAGAGAGAGACGAAACGACGCCGAATTACCTGGCGACCACCGATCTCCTCGGCCAAGACACGGATGTGTTCGACGGCTCTGGCTTCAGAGAACCGATCCAGAGGCGCGTCGGAAGGAAGCGGAGAGATAAATTTCATGTGGAGGACGCAGTAAACAATCGCAGACATTGAAGCGTAGATGAAGACGATTGAGAAGAGGAACTTGAAGCCCGTGGCTTCGCCAGAGCTCAGTCTCCAATACGCCATCGCCGGATTCAAAATCTTAATCGAAGGAATCTCCTACTTTAAAAACAAAAAAAAAGACAAGGATGGATCAGTTTTGTAATGGTGGAAATGGAACGGGTCGGGAAGGCGAGAGAGAGAGACAGAGACTACTTACAACAAGTCGTGACGTTTTTGATTTTGATCGTTTCAAGAAACAACATCCGTCTATATAGGACATAATCAAAGTGTTTATTTAATACGTAGAGATTGGGAAATTTGATTTAAAGGAATCTGCAAATCTTAGGATATCATTAAATTGAAGGAATTTGCATGTGTGTTGACAGTTGTCAAAATCAGAGTGACATTGTTGTCTTTTTCTGACTTTGAAATACGACGCAGCAAAAGAAATATAAGTATAATCTGAAACTACTTATTCCTATTTTTGTATTACGACTACTTGCTTACAAGTACTTTCGTAGCTGGCGAATGGCGATGGTAAACCAGTTTTAAAACGAAAACCAGAAGAACGTGAACATGATAAGACCACTAAGCTCAAATTTTATGAATAAATTTCCTTTCATATATATTTTGTTTTTCAACAATCTTATAAATTAAATCAAAGTTGGTCGGAAAAATACCGTAAAATATTTCTTACCAATAGAGCTGTCAAATAGGTTGACCGCGTTCAGATGATCATGTCCAAGTGGACATTTTTTTTTGTGGACCACGATTAGTAACGACCATGACCAATAACGACCGTAACCAATAACAACCATAGTTTGTCCATGGGAATCCACTTGTATATGCTTTAGATAATTTGAATATGTTTAATTCAATTGTATATGTTCCTTGACAATTAATCATCAAAAAACAAAA